CGCTGGTAACAAAGTATGCTGTAATTGAGTGAAATGCTGCAGTGCAAAAGAAGGCGCAAAAGAAAATGAGCACACAGCTTTGTATTCAAGCTGTTTGGCGTCAACTTGACCCACTGTGTTGGGAGGAAATGGAAACATTAGGTTTGGGGCTATTGTGTTTGATAAGGAAACAGGGCGTCTTCACTGCATTGGGGAGACCAATGGACAGGGCCATGTACTGGAAAATCTTGGACGAGAACCTCCTTCACTCAGCCAGAAGACTGAAAATCGGTTGTGGATAGATTTGCCATCATCACAATCACACAAAACATACCACCAAATTTATAAAGGAGTGGCTAAAGAAGAAGTAAATTAAGGTCATGGAGTTGCCTAGCAAGTCTCCAGACCTCAGTTGCCAAGCGGAAGCCAAGAAACTTGAATGATTTAGAGAGTTTCTGTAAGGGGGAGTGAGCCAAATTCTCTCCCAAGATGTATGCAACCCTGGTGACCAACTACAAGAAAAGGCTTACCAACAGGAGTTTCTCCACTAGGTAATAAATCATATTTTGTTTCAGAATCAAATATTTATTTGTAAATGAATTTTTAAGTTTTATGAAATACATTTTTCTGGATTTGTGGTTGACATTCTTTCTCTCGCCAATAAAATGAAAGAACCATAAACTTTAGAAACTGTTCATTTCTTTGTTAGTTAAGCATACTCACAAATTAAGCACAGGGTCAAAAGATATTTCTCCCACTGTCTCAAATATCCCAAATATAAACTTCAAGGCTTGCTTTTCATTTACTGAAGTCAGAACATCGAAGCAACAGTGAAACATTCAGCATGACAAAATGGATCAATACAGGAACAAGTAAGCATGTCACAATGATTCTCCTCTGACAGGAGGATTTGGTTTGTATCTGAACACAAGCAGATCTAATTTATTTCCTGCTTTTCTTCTGGGTCACACAGGTCTGTGCAAGCACTGCACTTTCCTCTTCCAGACACTGTGACAAAAAGTAGCTTTCAGTTTGCACCAACAGCAAAGCTCGAGAGCTGTATCAGGTTTGAGGAAAAAGCTGATGTCTGCAGCTACAACGAAATCTTTTTTTTCTTTCCTCTTTTTTTTGGTGAAATAAAGTGACTAAAAGCGTCTGTACATTCATCATCTGTGACAAAGTCACTCAAGTGGCAACAGTGATGACAAGGTTAAAGCCCGCGGCTAACCCATGGTGCAACTACAGAGGTGTTTTTGCCTAATTTTGCTGATTAGACTTTGGAAAAACTGTGTGTGGGTGTGTGAAGACTGTTGAACTGACAGCCAGCAGAAAAGTTGATAATGGATGGGTGGAACAGCTTACACATGTATGTTACACATGAGATGGTTTAACCACCCAGAATAACTAAAGACACATGCATGTTTTAGAAAACTGAAGCGAGCTAACACTAGCATTTAGCTTTGAGTACATCTGGGCCTGGTTTAGGCTATAGCCGAGACAATACTGGATATGGTTCTATCACAGTAGTTTCATAAACATAGTATTTAGTCTTTCCCAAGCAGGTTTGTCATGGCCACAATTTGCTGCAGGATTTCATCCATCAGCAGCAGTGCATAGCTGGTGGCATGGTGTGTTGGTCCCGGGTTTAACCTCTTGCTGCTGGCATGTAGCAGAGTGTTGTAGTTTTTGTGGAGGACCAAAATATGGAGATGGAGAAGTCCATCCTGTCACTGCTTCAACTCCTCTCCACTTTCACCTTCAGATGAGTCAGAGTTGGATTCTAGATGGTCTGTTTCTACCACTGAGGCCTCCTCCATGTCAGCTTCAGTCCTCAGAGGAGGATGAGGCATCACCTTCACAAATATTTTGCACAAGCATTTCCAGAGCCTCCTGTGTGCTGCAAAGTCTTGCAATCTCCAAACTGACAGCTCTTGCACTACTGACCATACTTTAAGCATGGGTGCAGTGCAAAACACTGTCAAATTTTGTTTTGGTTCTTGCTGCTAAGAGATCTTTAAAGCTCTGACAGGTTACTGATCATTTACTGTTATTGAATTCTTTTATAAATCCGAGCGTCACCTTCTAAGAGAAAAAACTTGAAGGTGAACATCTCTCTCTCTCTCTCTCACACTCACACTAATAGCAGCACACACACATTTTAGTAGCAAGGCACTCTTGCAGAAAATAGAAAAAGTGTGAAATGTGCATGCTTTGAACGGTAAAAGGTGGAAAAAATTAAAATTAAAAATTGAAGGCAAGTACTCCAAAATAAAATCTGAACATAAAGGAACGCATTAGTTAACGTCGAGATAAATGTGGGATCATGATTGATAATTTTCAATGGGGCATTTTTGGGCTTTAGGATAAAATTTGGCCGTTTTTGCATAGATTAGCTATTTTAAGCTAATTTAAGGAACTGAGGCAACAATTCTAAAATGAAAAACAAAAAACAAAAAAACAAATCACCTGGAAAAAATTATCTATATTTATTCAGCACAACCAAAACAGCATGAAAACAATAAAAGAAAATGGAGTGGCACAAAATGTCTCCAGGCTCATCTAAGGTGTAACGGAACTAACCGTGCTCGTAAAGAAGACCATATTTATCTACTGGGTTATATTCCTTGTCCCTTCTTTATTAATGAAATAAATCAATATTTATTTACATTTAACAAGAGAGCAAAGAGTAGTTTGTGTGAAATAAGTCAGAGATAGACAAAGCTCATGAAAATGCATAAAAAGGAGACTGATTGTTAAAGCACTTAATACAACATTAAAAGGGGAAAAGTTAATAAAAAAGGAAGTGATGTGGTTGTGAAGCAGGATTAAAAATCAATAAAATGCTGATTGATTGACATATTTTGCTGTATTAAATATTAGCCTATAGCTGGCAACCCGTAGTGTTGGCATCAAATAGCAAACTTTGATGACTGTTTAGGCAGCAAAAGATCGATAATTTGCTTTTCTGCAATCTCATATATGCCGATGCATTCAAGCAATTGGCTGAATCAGTGTATAAAGAAATTGATAGATCATGTGTTAATCATATCATGTTATCAAAAATGAGAGATTTGGATGGATTTATTGATTGGCACGTGCTGACTGCATTCCTTTTACAATCAGGACTGGAGAGCAGCAGACTGCTGAAACACCAAAGGAGGAGGAAATATGGCGAAGAGGTGAGCCTCCAAAAGACTAAATAGAGGTAAAACATTTTTTTATAGGGGCCATTATGGCACAATGGAAGCAGAAGCTCCGAGACCAGGGCTGTGAAAGTTTACAAACCACATAAAATCTCTTGCATGAATGCTTTGTGACCATCACAATTTAAATAATTTTTTCCTCAAGGTTTTGTTAATGCTGCTTAAAGAACAGTAACAAAGATGAAGAACTAAAATTCCTTATTTCAGTGTCAATCTGTGAAAAGACAGTGTCACACCGGCATTAGAAAAAACTACAGTAATTAGCCAAACGATGGATTTTATGATGAAGCATTGCAGGCCTTACCTTTGTCTTCACTTACTTCTCTTATTTTACAGACTTAATGCCACACAAACAGAAATGATCCTGTTTTTTGTTTGGCTCAGCAGTTCTTCCTTTTTGGACTAAGCAACTCTCATCCCTCAGCTTATCAGACCATCAGTCCTCTCTCCATCTTCTTCAGAAGCCCCTCCCTCATTCTTCACATACACTCTAAGTGTGTTAAAAGTGCCCATCTCTCACCTCTCTTAACAATTTGTATGCTTTCCTCCTCTTCCTACATCCAAACTGATCTCATCCCTCTGATTTGACAGCATTTAAGCCTCTCATGCTGCAGGCTCCTCAGCCTTTGGGAGATGAGGTTTTATTTATTTATTTCATTTTCATTTTTCTGTGCTGATTTCTTGTGATATTTGTATGTTGTCCTTGTACTTTTTCTTTCTTTTCTTCTTTTATATTGAGGATTGGAGGAAACATAAAAGATAACGAACAAGGCTATGCTTTAAGCAGAATTATGCTGCGCATAATACATGCAGAAATGTAAGGAGAGAATTTAAACTATAAGAAGTGTTACATTTATTTATGCAATATATGCAAGTTTTGGAATAAATGTCAGATTAAATTTTAAAGCCAACATGTTAAAATAAAATATAACCCTTATACTGCATCACAGAGGGGGAAAAAGTGCTAAATACTGCACTAAATGCTAAAATACTATTATATACTGATTAGATATGTTTGTACATTAAAATCATCAAAGTGGAAAGTTACATATATTCATATGTTGCTGCTTGAAAAGATAACAGTTAGTAAATAACTGTTAAGTAAGTAACTGCTAAATAATAAGTTATGGAAACAGATTTGACAGATAAATGATGTGGTGATGCTTTAAGATGAAAGATAAAGATGTTGTTCTGCATTTGTTTTGGTACCAGCAGGAGAATTAGACCTATTATGCTCAATTCCCGAGCGCACCGCACAGCTTTGTATGAGCACAGCTCAAAATAATCCTCATTTACTTTATCAGGGACTCGGTGTCTGAAACAAGCTGTCTCCCTTTAAGGCAGCTTTTATCTGATTGGCTGTCCCCTGCAAACCAGCAGGTGACTGGAGCTTATGTACTCGCAGCACTGCCATGCCCTGAGATGACCATATTAGGAATATCCACTCTCTATTATGCCCGACAGATCCATTAGGAGAAAAAAAAAAAACTCTTAGAGATAAACATTAATATCATTCAAAATTCATAATGAATTTTGGCCATGTTGTATAAGCTGTTCCAGTGAAATTATCTTATAAATGGTGAGTACCAAAAACAGGTAAACATATTTGTGTTAGGATGGACCTAAAATATCTTTATCTGCACACAGACAGGTAAACTGTTCTGAATTAGTTCAAGTGTCAGTCGCTGACATCCAAAAGTTTGAATCAGCTGCTGCTGCTGAGACACTCTCACCTTTCAACCTGTGCACTGTGTATTCCTCATAAACCCACATGTACATATAATTTCATGTAGATTAATGGAGAAAGGTCTGACTTACCATATTTATTGAAGAAACTGGCCCGATACTGTTCACGTATATATCAACGTCAATGACAGTTGGTTTAACTGCAGGGGAAACGGAAGAAAAAGGGTAAAGAAAATCAGTGCTGATTGAGACATTTAAAAACCATACCTGCCTCTTTGTAAATCAAAGAGAAGCAGAGCGAAGATGCATTAATGAAAATTTACTGTTCAGAATTATTTAAAGAATGAGCAGCTGCTGAGAGAAGCAACCCTCTGGAAGTTCTGGTTGTTAAAAATCTTTAATGCAGCAATTATGCTGCGTTTTCACCAACAGGCCACAGACTGCACCACAGTGCAGCGCAGAATTACACTTTAATTTCAGACAAAGACAACTCCATGTAGAATATCAGAGGAAAATCAGAAGTAGTCCACTGGGTCTTGGTCCCACTTTTCCCTGCAGGTTTTCACCCTCGCCAGCTAATCGTGAGCTGAATTACACCCGAGACACCAGCTAAATGCAATTAAGTGATAAACCATTGGAGCCTCCATCTCTGACTGGACCAGTGGATGTGGACTGATGTTTCTATATCATATGAAGGTAGTAAATGACAAAACAAATTAAAAATGCCAAAATCTGACATGAGGTCATCAGCACAGGTAGCAAGAAGCTAACAGAGCAAAACGGTTAGTTTGTAAGCTACTAATCTAATCACAGCATAATATAATTATTTAACCACAGACTTGAGGAGACACGTCACACAGTTTTACCTTCACAATATTCCTGAACACAGTTTGTTGCTATTTATATACCAGTGACCTACTTAGATTGACTCGACGTGGTTCACCACAGTTTTCAGGTTTTTCCATTAGGTACCTGGTACCTGGTGCAGGTACTTTTTTAGTTCCAAGCGATCTGAATAGGTACTAAAATGTGGCGTTGTCAGACTGCATGCCACCGATTGGATGGTCAGTAGCATCACTTAATGAGTCATGAGAGTGTCTCCTTCATGAAAATCAAAACCGCCAGTTTTGAAACCCGGCAATGGGAAAATGGCTTCAAAAGATAGTAGGTACTAATGGAAAATAGGCTTAAAAGACTTCTGTTTGTGTGATTGTGGTGACCTTAATTCACAGGTAACATAAAATGTTTCTCAACTTAAGGAAATCATTAATATAATATTATATAATATGATTAATATTACACATGATGAGGGTTATCTATGTAACCACAGCATGTCAGTGACTGTGGCCTGCAAAGAGTATACACTATATGTAAACAAAGCTTAAAACATCCGCCCACTGAGCAAAGAGATGTTGGATTAATGACAGAAATTATTTCAATGTCAAACTTAGGCTCATTTTAGATGGCACTTTTATGCTGCTTCTAGGGGCTCTGTAGTCCCATGTTTCCAGAGGGTGGAGGACCTGTTCCCCACCCCCTGGAAACATGGGAAACAGTTATGTGTAAAGGAATGCAGAGTGATGGTCCATAATCAGTGGATGGTTGGTGCGGGCTCTTGATGCTAAAACAAAAGTGAGCAGCTGCACGGTGAATTTGGAGCAGAAATGTCCCCAGCTTCTCACAGGAAGTTTGCAAAAATGGCTATATCGACAAAGACTATCTAGCAGATTGTGCAAGTGTTTGTGTATGAACTGGACTAACTCTCATACTTTTTGTCGCAACTTCTCTCAGTCTAGCTACTGATCACAACCACAATCTTCATTCATTCTTCACAATAAAACAGGATAACTGTAAAAAATTAATCATATATAATGCAAATGTTCTTTTAAACTTATTTCAACACATTTTAATAAATTACAGTTTGACCTGGTTAAAAACAAATAAGTTGATTAATTGAAATGAATATACCACAAAAAACTACCCAGTCCAAAGTTCAAATGTTGAACATCATATTGACCTCCAAGTTGGGTCATGCTTGGACGTCCAATTTGTGGACCTAGTTTGGACATTGTATAGATGTCCAGAATTGGTCATGGACTGATGAACCCAATGCACGTCTATCCCACGTCCAGTGTTCAGTGGGTGGTGTTTGTATTTGCGTCTTGTTTTCCAAAATTTACATCCAGTCTAATATTTGATTGATCTATGGATCCACCAAGCCACCTAGAAGGGCTCGTATTAAGTGATATGTATACAGCAACTGATAACTTACTAAATACATGCTAGGCTTTCAAATAAGAGGAGATTGGCTGCATCTGTACAATCTGGTAATTATGGCTGTAACACACTGAGCCAACAATTTTCACACCAGGAAGTTGCCTCAGTCTTCATTTTTTTGCAAACACCATCAATACACATCGATACACACATTCCAAACACAACAACTTAAAGGACTTCCTTTCTTCTTTTCTTTAATTAATTTACACCAGCCTGCCTTATTGATGGAGGGACACCCCTGGCTTTCCCCACCTCTGCTGCTCTCGGTCATTTCATGGACAGGTGTAAAAGTGTCATTTAAACCTCAAGCTTTAACAGCTAAGTGACAGCTGTGACACACTGCTGCCACGAGTGTTCACATTTGCATAGCAAAGAGCTCTTCCATCATTTTACATTACCTGTCTTTAGAGTCTTCATGTCTCAGCCAATTAAATGCACAGCGAGAATTTTTTACACCTGCCAGTCTCCCTTCCAGCATTCGCTTCACATGCTAACAGATGGCACATGAGAGAACATTTCTGGAGAGCTCCCACTGAGGCAGCTTTTCAAGGCCACTATATTCATAATGGCACAACACCTGGTGAGCAAACTAAATTGATCTGAGGTAAAATGTAAAAATATCTGGAATATTTGTCCAAAACCTCTCATCATAACTTTTTTTAACACCACCACCACATAGGCCAGGCTGCAAGTACTTACACTCCTACAGGTGAAGTGTGTGGAAGCTGTCAGATGATTATGTCAGTGACTGCAACAGGATACGTGCTGGCAGCAGAGCGGCCGCCCAGGCAACAAAGTAATTGGACACAATTAACCCTGATAGTTGGGCAGCAACACACTCGTGCCGCTCGTTTCCCCACCTGTGCTAATCGCTCCTGAACAGCACGCATACATGAGAAACATCGGTCAATTTTCTTTTTCAAAACAAAAAACTCACGAGGTCAGTCTTCAAATAAGGAAGAGTCACACTCTCAGTATTTTATAACAGTCAACAGAGATGGAGACAAGGGTCAAACAAGCAGAAAAACAATGACTTAAAGTGACCCCAAAATTTCCCCTTCTTTTGATTGCACACGTGAGTCATAGTACATCTATCATTATATAAAGGTATACTGCTGTGTAACTGTGCTTTTCTTATGCTTAAATGGATCAGCATGAATCACTGACCTAAAAAGTTCAACAGGAAGTACTGTGATGTCATACTGTGCAATGAAAAGTATGTGGAGGTCGAGGTTTTCAAAGGGCAAGTGAGCATTTTGATTACAAATTAAACCCTCAAATGTCTCGAGCCATTTAGCAACTAAAATGATTGTTATATTTTATAAAAGAATATTGGTTCTCTGTTTGTGCTTCTAATATTTGTAATGTATGAAAGATTCAATACTGTGCTTACTGTCTGACCACTTTTACTCTTCACACAGCCGGAGCTGTCTGAACCATAAATTCCACATTTGGATTCTTCACTTCATCAAACCTGTTGTCACTGATTTCAGTCCAGTTCTTGTGTAACTTGGCATACCACAGCCTTTTTTCGCTGTTTCCCTAAGAATGACTCGTTGACAGCCGATATGTCTTCAGATCAACTGAAGGTCCAAATGCTTCTCTCAGCTCCTGTGTCAGGCCTCTGCTGTTATCTTTCCTATTTCTTAAGGACATGACTTTCAGATACTGTTCATCTGCTTTAGATAATTTTTTAGGCCTGCTACTTCTGCGTTTGTCCTCTACTTGTCCAGTTCCTTCATTTATTTTTAAAGGACACGCTGCACACCATGCTGAGACAGGCCAAGTTTTGAGCTAATAGCTCTTTGAGAATCACCTTGTTAGTCCAAAAAAATCTGTTTTATGCCTGTCGAGCTGCATTATCTTTGGCATTTTTCAATGATTCAGCTAAAGAAATTAGAAAACTATTTTTTGTGACATACTGCTTGTAACAAAGTCCCTAAAGGTACATTTTTAGAATTGGTTCATACTTGTTTGTTATGTTATGTGGGATTAACAGTGTTTCATTCCTTTTAGGCGCCTTTTTTATGCTTGAATGATTCATAGATCAGTGTAAAATGGGTTAACAAAAATAAAAAAAAGAAAAGAAAAAAAACATAAAAATCAAGATAATCAGCTACATAATAAAAAGGACACATTATACACAAAAATGAAAAAGAACATGTACCAGAGTTTTTGCAGAATTACAAATACAACCCTCTGAAATGTTTCAGTGAAGGAGATGCAACTTCATAGTTTTTGTAGCTCAATGCAAGTTCGTTTTAAAAAAGAATCACAGCTGACCTTAAAAATTTCCGATCTGTAAGTTCTTTGTTTAAATTCAATCAAGGAGCGGCGGTAAGGAGGCAGTCATTGCAGCAGAGCTTTGTCACTGACAGACATGCAATACATACTCTCTTCGATTTGCTGGGGTTCACCATCCTAGCGAATTGAGATCTGTTTCTATAAAAATATCCTATTTTCAGCTTTAATTGTCTTTTAATATGTTTTTAAAAGTGTATCATCCAGAAGAAACTGAACATGGACTACAGGCTGGATAATTGTAGGTGACCTTGTAAATGTCATACTTAGACTTATTTTAAAACTTTGATAAAACTATGTGTGATCAGAGAAAAGCATAAGTCTGTGTGGTTGCAGACCAGGTGCATGTCTTTGGAATAACCATTTCAAAGGCAATGCACACCATCACAATTTTGGTCGTGCCACTATTTTCCCTTGTGTGACTACAAAAACGAGCCAAAACGAGATGCCTAATTATGGAATAATTACCACCAAATTACAACCAAATCAAAGATTCTAATGTTTTAAAAAAAACATACATATTTTCAGGCAATTTTCCATAATCCTGGAAACCATTAGCCAGACTAACAGGCCAATTCCTGCATGAAAAGAAATATATTCACAAATTCATGGCAGGAAATAG